TCTTTTTTTCTAGATTTTTTCTACTTTTAAATTCTATAATGGACTCCAATGCAACATAGTGTAATTTTGAAAGGTTTTATCATTTCTTTTTTCTGTCTGAATTTCTGATATTAAGAGTTACCATTATTAATATTCAGTCTAATGTCCTCATCCTTGTTATGACAGTGCTTCAACAGTTGTGCCTTATGGCTTTCTTCAGGCACATGTTAATATGAGTAACCTTCAGCAATTTCAAACTGAACACTATTTAATCTACAGGGTTAGATTGTTCTCATTCTGTTGTCCACATCTAGGGATATCTTGTCTAGTTCTTAATTAGTACTGCTCATTTCTTCTCACATGAGTCTAAGTTTGTACAGCCTAGCTTAAATTCATGAACCAATGCTTTAATCCACTAGGCTATTGTTGTGTGGGGCTCAGTATAAGCAGGTTGAGCATGTATTGAAAAGAATAAGACAAGATGCAGAATTCTACCTAACTGAAGAAATTAAATTTTAGACGTTTCTGTATAATAAAGTGACATATAAAGAATTCCATTGCTTGAAAAACAAGTAAAGATGATAGAATATTGAGAAGTGAGTAGGTTAGAAGGGAGTGCTGAAAAGTTCATGGCCCAACCAAGAAAAAAGAAAACTTCTGATGTTTGGTCAGAGTTTGAGAAATGGTTCAGGTCTAAAACTTTTCAGTACTTATAGTTTGATGTGTACATCAGCGATATACTTTGGTAAGAATGTCTTTGAACTTTGCCAGGAGATTTATTCAAGTATCTTAGATATTTTATGTGCAAAACTGATCAAAATCAATAATTTCAGAAATGCTAAAAATCTTTTTTACTGCTAAGGAAAAGATATTTCGACCTCGATATTTTCTTTTTTCTTTTATTGAATCTTAGAAATAAACATATGCCACCATTACTACACTTGTTTGTATTGTAGCTACTACTGGCATCATTCTTTATATCACTGCTACCACCTTTTCCATCATTACTGCCATTATTGTTACCATTTCTACCAATGTACATCTATTGTGTTTTTCTTCTCATTCCTCTCTTTCCAGATATTTTCTTCTGGTTGCATGAATAAGAACTTAATTGGCATTTGACTTTTTTGTTTATATTAATATGTGAAAAAATAAAAAAAAATAAATAAAGTTGCAGATGAGAGAAATGAAAGCAATAGAATATCAGACTATCGAAAAGAGGAAGGTGGAAATGCATATTGGAAAAGCTAAATTCAAACTAAAGCGCAGAAACAATAATAAAACATTACATTTTGTTTCTAAGGATATCATTTTACAATCAAACCTAACTGTTTTGAATGTTTAAATTTGCTTAGCCAGAAAGAAAAAAAAACAAAAAACTTTTGTCTGTTTAAGATATGTAAATAAATACATGCAGTTAGAATATTAAATTTCATGTAAAGCATTCTTATATATATATATATATATATATATATATATATATATATATATATATATATATATATAGATTTAATTCTTTTGTGTTTGTTCTAGTATCATGCACTATAAATTAAAAATATCTAATCTGATTTGATCTATATAAACAGAAATCACTTCATTATAAATACAAATCAGATATTTTTTGGATCATTTCATTCCAAGCAAGACAATAAGACACAAGGGGTTACTGAGTGTTAGAGAATATGAGAGGAAAAAAAACACTATTAAGAAATTAAGAAGACAGAAGATAACAATTAACATTGCATTTAAATTCTTGAAGATCAATGTTGATTGGGAAGCAAGAAGGTGGAATAGAAGAAACTGTTAACATAGAACTTACAGTTACATCTAGCAGCCATTTCAACTGTAAAATAATGAGACCTTGTTGCCAATCTAGTACTATGATTACATTCATAAAATCTAGGTACCACAGAGGTAAGTTCATCAAAACAATTACCGTGAAAGTATTTATAGAAAAGGCACAGTGAAGTTATATTACAGTGGTTGGGAAAGTGACTAAAGCTGAGATGCCAGGTCAGGACCAGTAACATTGCATTATTTAAAAAAAAAATAGCAGCCCACATATTATCGTCTAGTTAAGGCACTTAAAAGTATTGCTGGATTATATTACAGTACTAGCCTCGAAGCCACTCTTTAGCCTTTTACCTTCAGTGTCCTATGTATATAAAAGTTATTTTGTGCACAATTTTTCTTTTCTTTTAAAATCACCATTTTTTATGATCCCTTCACATAGAGTCACTTGTGTGCAAAATAACTTTTAAAAAACATTATGGAGCCTGAACTATGTAATATTTCGAATATGTCACAGTACATCTGCTAGAAAAAGTAAAATAAAACAATTGAACAATGTATTGTGCTCTGATTAAGTTTTAATTATGGTTTAATTAGATGATGTCACTTGCAATTGTGATGAAAAGTGAAATTAAAGTTAAACCTTTAATAAAGAATTATTTTTAAACCCTTTTCACTCTTTTCAATATTTAAATTTAACTTTTATTCATCTAATTTTTAATCATGTTTAACTAGAGTAGTTACTACCTGTTACTTCAGGTTGATTATAATTCACTGAGATCATAAAATCAAAATAGACAGACATGTGTACATTGTGCTTTATTATTATTATTATTATTATTATTATTATTATTATACATGCTACTAGAAACACAGAAAAGAGTGCTGGACTGCCATATGATATTAGTGCTCCTGTATGGCAGTGGATGCTGGACAATTTTGTTGCAGTTGAAAAGGGGGCTTGAGAAAACAGATGTGGTTCTACAGAAGGATAATGAGAATGTCATGGATGGGTCATGTGAGGAATAAGGAAGTTTTAAGGAAAATGGAAACAAAAAAGAGCACTTATACTTAGAATTACAAAGAGACAGTTTAAATTTTCTTTGACACATAATGAGGAAAGAAGGCCTGGAAATTTTTTCACTCACAGGACATGTTGAAGGCAGGAGGGAGTAACCTATTTAACAAGCTTGTGTAAATGGTTGGCAGAACAAAGAGAGGGAGGGACAATAAAGAGACAAACATTAAAAAGAACTTCAAAGGATAGAAAGTTGTGGATAGCCATGCTCACTCATTTCCTGAAGAAGAAGAAAAAATGATTGTGAAGTGAGGTGTAGCAGACAAAATTCCAGCTAAAGCAGTTTGTGGTCACTTTGTATTGATGCCTTTAGAAAATGCATGGACTTTTCTCTCAAGCTATGGGTAAAATAGGATAGATAAAACTCTCTAGCCTTGGTTGGCAACCAGTCTAGGAAAAGATAACTTTAAATTAAAAAGAATATGATGAAGTTAATGGATAATGTCTCTGTCTTTTCCATAACTATACTTAGTTTATAGATAATGAAGGAAGCTGTGAAAAGCTATAATTATCTATGTCCTGAGAAACCTGCCACTTAAGAAAGATTCTTTTGAAAAGCATGTTTATTTAACAGAAAGCAAAATTGTTCTTTGTTAATTGCCTTTAAGTTTTTCCATTTTTCAGTAATTAGAAATTATTAGAATCTCCAATGAAAATCAAACTTATATTTGAATTCTCAAGAAAGAATCAAGATTTCATGTACCATGTTTAGCACTTGGATGCCTTTATTGCTAACCATCCTTTTGTAAACCTTTGGGATCATCTCAGAAGAATTGAAGCTTAGCTAGATATAATTTGAGAGTTACCCAATCAGCTTGTTGCTGTTTATAGCTTTATATACACCATATGTGAATGATTTACAGCTAGTGTAAGGGTTATTAATGCAGAACAGAAGGTGGAATCAGTAAACAAAGTTCAAGTTCCAACATAAATTGGGCTGAATTTTGCACAGATGCCTTTGGAAAAAGCATGAATCCAATTTTTCTACCACTGCACCCCCCACATCTATAGTAACCAATCTAGGAGAAGCACTACTTTAAATTCAAAACTAGGTAGAAGGCAATTGTAAACCATTCCACCATCTTTGCAAGAAATTATGGCATTCAAAGATAATAAAGAAAAGGAATTTGTCAAAAGCCATGACTGCCTACATCCTGAAAGAACATGGTATTTAAAATGGTATTGATAAAGAAATAAACAATCTCATGACACATAAGACTTTTGATGAGATTTCTGTAATAAAATTCTTCCATGCTGTAGAGAGATTGGCCCCACATCCAACCTCTATACACAGTGAAAAGGTTAGTTTTCTGTCAGGGTTTTCCTTCCCTTAGATGATTTGCTAATGAGTTCTACCTGCATGAATTTAAGAAATTTAGTGTTTTCTTTTCCCTAGACTAGACATTTTATTATTTGCACTATCCATGCCACTAAACATTTTTTCCCTTAATTATCCAACATCCATTTTGTTAGACTTTGTTCTTTACTCTTGTATTGATTCAATCTTTTTTTTTTATTTATTTTATATAAACAAAGTCAATTTTTATGAAATTCACTGTAGTGATATTACAGAATAATTTTAATTCTTCAGCTGACATTTTTACTCATTTCACAGATCATATTTTGTAACTTGTTTCTTTATGTTCAGTTAGTAGTTTTTAACTTTATTAAACAATTGTGACCAACATGCACATTTGGGTGCATGGTTTCAACATTTCTGCTCTCGTACCATGGATTCAGACTTTCATCACGTGTGCCATCCCCTATGTAATTAAGAATAAGACACCTCAAATTGAGACATGAGTTTATTGATAATAATATCTATTTACTTATGTCTGTCATTGTGCATCATGTAAGAAAATTATAATTACTAACATTTCCCATGAAATAGAAAAAGGGAAATACTAAACACTTCAAATACCTCAGTGTTTGGATCAGTTACAACAAATTTAGTATAGGAAATAAGGAAATTGAACATAGAATAAGTTGCACTAGAGTTAGTTTCGCTCAACACCGCAAGCTGCTACAAAGCTAAAACATTAGCCTAAAAACAAGAGTTATGTTCTTAAATAGCTTAATAAGATAGAGACTTTCATATGGATGTTATACATAGTACCACACTTGTTCAGAAATAAGCTAATGGCTATATAATGTTGAAACACTAGTTCCCTGTATGATCACCAAAGTTAAGCAACGTTGAGCCTGGTCAGTACCTAGATAGGTGACCACTTTGAAATACCAGGTACTATAAGCTTGGATGTGTGGGCGATGTAATGGATAATGGCTTGGAATTTTTAATCTGAGAGCCAAGTTCCAATTCCAGTTGGGTGCGTTATATTCATTTACCTGCAAACACCCTTGGTAAAGGTATGAATCCACCTCTTCTCCTCTAGCTATGGGTTAATTAGTAAGTCTTGTATTGCTAAATCATTATTATCTCCAAAATTTCTTACAATCTAAAAATATTTTCTGGCATTAAATAACCTGCAAAATATTGATAAGCTGTAAAAAATAAATCAAATTAAATCAGTCAGAAATATCTAAACTGTCATCTATACAGAACTATTTTCTCAGATCAATGGTAAAAAATAGCTTTGAATAAAATGTGTACGTCTTAGTGAATGCCAGCCCTCAATGAACCTAAAAAAGCAAAGAACTGTACTGGATAACAGAAACTACACCATTTGAGGACTTGCAACAGCTAAAATGGATATCATGTGACTCGGAGAAAATTATGATGTTGACATTTCATACTATTTCAAACAAAAGGTTAGGAAGGAAGCCTCAGTAATGGTTGTGCTATCACAAAATCACAAGTCATCGTGACTGAGGATATGGCCTTGTTCGGACTATTGATCATGCCTGATTATGTGTTCTCTCCCAGAAACCATAACTAACGTCTGCTCTGCACAGTTGCAGTATAAATCACATGTTAGGCTCTGTGGGTGTTAAACAAACACAAATGTGCCTGAGCAGGCTTGCAGCAGGAATTGGCTAACTGCACTAATAGACAGGAATATGTGGATACAAGTGGCCAGCCATTATCATGCTTGAAATATAAAAACAGTAATTTAAGTAATTAATAGATTTTAATCTGATATTATTTTTATTATTGTAATATTATTTTTAGTGCTTGAGTAGACATGTCTTTTTTTTTTCAAATTTTTTTCCTTTTATAAGATTTTAATTTTATAAGAATTTAATTTTACTGTTTGAAAAATAATAGATATTTGTAGTTAAACATGTGTATCCTCTAAAAATTTATTGTAATAAAGAACACTGTAAGATTAAATCGGTTAACTGCTTAAATAAGAAATTGTACGTGTTTTATTTATATGCTTTATTAATTTATAATATTGGGGATTTTTTTAATGAATTCTCTGAATAGAATTTCAAGCAATTGAAAAAAAGAGTTGTAAATGAGCAAGATTAATCAAGATGAATTTGAAAGATTTTTATCATATAGAAGTTTTTGTAGATGGAGAAAAAAGATTCTGGGTTTGCTGAAAATTGTGGACTTAGCTTTTAAAAAAGGTTACCTAAATGGGATTGCTTAAATTGATTTTTGTAAAAAAAAGTATTTTCTTTATTTTCTTTACTGAATTGAAGGTTTTCAGCAGATTACTTTTCCATTTAATTTTTGTTTTTATTATTATTATTAACAGAAAAAGAACAATATGAAAAAAATGATGATAGTTATCTGCTTTTATGATTGTCTTTTCTGTCCTTTTTTTTACAAATTTCCCTCTGCACCCTTTAAAAAAAAAAAATCAATATTCTATTGTCTACTGGCAATCATCAAGAGTATTTTAATTATACTGCAAAAACCCTTGCTATAATCTTAAAAAAAAATAATTTAAAATTCTTTTCTTTATTTCTCTGTATTGCTTCCATTTTCTCTCTGTACTTTGTTAATGTCTCTGAAGAAGCCATTACAAATGTTGCACATTTAAAAATGCAAACAATTAAATTTATGACCATCTAATTACAGACGAGCAAAGTTACTTAAATTTGTAGGCTGGCCACTTAAAAAAAAAAAAAAGAATCATAGTGCCTCACTGGGCCACCATGAGGAAGTAAAGATGTCTACTTGATGCTATTCATAGTTTTGTATTCTGTAGCCTGGTTTCATTTTAATATTTTAACACTGCCACTTTAGATTTTTTTTATTTATTCATTCTATTTTTTATTGTTGGATTTCATATATTTTTTTTTATAATAGAATCCATTTTTCTTTTTAAAAACAAATTTTAAGTTTTTCTATTGACAAAATTATCAATCCAGCTTTTATCATTTCATACAGATCTTTTACTCTCTGTTTTGTTTTTTTCCTCTTTCGATATCAATTATTTAAACTCTTTGTTTGTTCATATTATTATTATCATTATTATTATTATTATTTTTCTCTTCCCAATTTTTCTCTTTCGGGTACAGACTTTTTGATCTTTTTGATTCTTGAATTAAAACAAGCTTTTATGATCCTGACTCATTGGTTTGCATTGGTGCAGTTTATCCACTCACTGCTCTTGTGTCTTCTATTTTTTATTATCATCATCGAGGCACTTTGCTGTTCTGAAACCCTTGTGATCTTATTCTGCTTTTATCTCATTGTTGATGTTTACTCTGTTCGATTGCCAGACAAGACATTGTGTTGCCATTTGAGTCAACTGTTCTGTGTTTTCAAACCCATGGATCTGAGGTTCTTTAGGATGGCAGGTGCATTTGGCTTGAAACAAAAAAAAAAAATCTTTCAGAAAAATCATTTACCTGCGGAAGACATGATTTGCTCAGAGTTGTCCTGCTGTAAATTATTATCTTAAAAAGCAATCTTACTATTATTGAAAAGATACAGAAGAAAGAAAAAAAATATTATCTTTTATATATACAGAATTTTAAAGGTTGGATCAAAATTAACCTTGACAGATTTTAAAGTCATGAAATATTATTTTTTTAAAATTTATAATGGAGCATTTGTTTCTGTATTTTGAAAGACAAAAGGCTAAAATAGGATTCAATTTTCTAACGTAATTTGTATGCATTTTCACAGAAGGTACCATTAAAAATTTTGGGGAATTCAATCCAATTTTTTTTTTTTTTTTAACACTGTCCACTATCTCTTTTCAAATATTTCCCTTGCCTGTTTGTATACTGTGACACAAGATGGAAATAGTTTACAAAGGATTGTGGCATGCTGCTCAAATTCCATTAACTTTTTAGTAACACCTTGTATACTTGCTTGGTTACCTGGCATTGCCCAGATTAGAAAAGTTGCAGTTTTATTTATCTTTCATCTTCAGAAATGTATCAAGCAACCTGTTTACTTGTAGTGATTTGGATTGAGAAATTGGAGAGCTGAGTTCGAATTCCATTTAAATCCATTACATTCACTTACATGCTAATACCCTTGGGAAAGGTATGACTCCTCTTCTCCTTCCTTCAGCTATGGTTAAATAGCAGGACAGACCAGGTTCTATAGCTTTGGATGGCAACTGGTCTACTGCAAAAAGAAATAGCAACCTACTCTGGGAAAAAAATCTGCCTCGTCAGTCATATACCGAAAGATACATGATCGCCTAAGTGTGTATCACACATGGCATATAACTGATCATCTTGGACAGCGTTTTACAAAATATTTTTTCTAGTTTTTTAATTCATACTATTAAAGATGAATGTATTTATTTAGAAAAAAAATTACAAGGCTGTGGACATCTAGTTTTGTAGACATGAAATAGTTAACTAACATCTCATTATCAGTAAAAACATTACAGGAAACAGAAATCTATATCCAAGTAAACATATCCATCAAAAAAAAAAGCCAAATGCTTTTTCTAATGATCCTCTTGGCCTGTGTTAAAAATGTAGTATTTTTAGCATTTATTCATTATTAACAGAGTACTTGTAAAAATGGGAATAATTCTATATAGATTAATATTATGCCTGGTATTGAAATATCTCCCTCAACACTTTTTCCAAGGATCAGTGCAGTATCTGTGCATGCTGTTTAACTTAATATTTGCAGATTAATCTAATTATGCTGTTCAAGCAGCAGAATGTATGTCTAATGGACATGTCATGTGTATATTTATTCCCAAATTAAATTGACTTGGGTATCATGATAAACTGAATTTAACAACAAGGCCTCTGATCAGGAGCTTTTGAGGAGCATGGAACCACCTTTTAATTGCTGTTGTTCCCAGGTTCACCCTGACCCAGGATGGTAGCATGTATTAGGGTCCCAGCTATGGGCCAGTAGTGAACCCCCCCAAACTTGGGTCAAAACACTATGAAAGTATAAAAATACATTTTTATAGTAAAAATACCAGCAATAGATTTTAATAGTAAAAAAAAAAAAAAATTACCAAAGCTCCCAAGAAAATTAAATTTCAGTATTAAATGGTCCATAAGGAGTTAATATATTGTTAAACAAACAAATCAGTTGTGAAATCAGAACAACATATATCATATTTTTATTACTTGAAAGCTCGCAAGTAAATTTCAGCATTAAATGACCAATAAAGAATTGATATAATGTTAAACACACCAAACCAACCAAAATTAAATATTTGAATCTGTGTAAGATTCACTTGTTAATTTTATACCTTTATGTGTTTTAGTGTGTTTATTTTTCTCTTTTATGTACCATATCCCTTTAAGGTGTGGGTAATCATGTCTCTCCACAACTTCCTATCCTTTGTAGCTCTAAGCAATGTTTGTTTGCTTACTATCCCTTAAATTCTTCATTCTGCCATTCATTTAGTTAGGTTACTCGGTATTTCTCTCTGTTTCTCTTGCCTTTAATAGGTATTTATCTGCACACCCATGTTGCAACAGAATGTGACAGAATGTGACAGAATGTGACAGAATGTCAGAGTTTATTGTGGAAAGCTGTGCAAAAATTGCTCAAACTCTTTTACCTTTTGAGATGCCCCAGGCACTGGGTAATGACCTCAGCTTCTTCCCAAAGGAGAGGTACTCCCTGGAGGAATGGTGCCCTGGGGCTTGAGCTAATATTAATGTCAAACTACCCCAGCTCACAGATGTCCTGTGTGTGTCAAATTCTCCAAACCTTTTTCTCTTTACGTGTTCCAGAAATTTCAACCATCTCTTCCTGATTCTAAGTACAAGTTTTCTTTTTGTTCCCACTTTCCTTAACTTCCCCATTGTTCACATGTTCAAACTTGGTATTCTCAACATCCTTCTGTAGAACGATGTCTCTGTTGCTTCAAGTCTCCTCTTCCTCTTTGTTG